GTGTGCTTGGCCGCGCTGCTTGTCCTTGTTGGGTTTGTTTTTGTTAGGGGGGGTGGGGGGGGGGGGGGGGGGGGGGGGGGGGGGGAGAGACATGTTTTCCAGCCACCAGAACTTCTGCTGCTGATTTGTGGGGGACTGCATGCTTGGGAGGGGGTCCCACTTCCACAGAGGTGCTTGCAAAGGACCGGTTCCGAGCCCCAGCTGGGCTGCTCTGCTGCCACATGTGATTTGAAATTTTCAGGATTTCACTGGTTTTTGCAAGCAGGCTGACCAAAACCCTTCCCCTTTTAGCTGTTGTGGAGAAGAGGGAACTGTTGTGTCCTGGATTTTTATATGTATATGTGAAGGGTGGGATATGTACTAGAATAGTAAGCCAACAAGCAAGCTTTTGAAGGGGCAGGAACTCTGTCCTGCTTCACATCTAGCTGTGCTAATTACAGAGGTTTTGGGGCACTGCAGGCAGAAGGGGGAGCCATGGAACGGGTGCTAACTATCTTTCCAAGGGATGCAGGCACGATCCCATCTGCCCACCATACGTTATGACAAAAAGCAGAATAAATCTCCAGTACTCCCTACCTGCCAATTGGCAGCCCCGGAGTTTCCTACAGCTATGGGTACAGACGGAGCCTGAAATGGTGCGAGGTTTGTAGGCAACGCAACCAGGCAACGCACAAGCAAGCTCAGCAAGGAGCTCCTCGTTCTGCCTGCAATTCCGCGTGGAAAGATACACCAAGACGAGTTGATGGGAATTAAGCATCGTTTACCCATGAGTGGCTGCATCCACACTTCAGCTGAGCCTAGAGGTAAGCCAGAAGTGCAAATGGATTCTTGGTTAGTACACACCATGCATTGTTTCCCGCCTCCGTTTCATGTACAGCTCAGACAACTTTCTCACAGAGGGAGCTGGAGGTATTTTGCAGGTCTGTATTCAGAAGCTACTTAATGGCTGGGCAAATTATGGGCAAATGGAAGATGGCTTGGGGAGACAGGCGTCCTTGGAGAGCTGTTGAAAGAGAACCGATCAGCGCTGCTACAGAACTGCCAGCAGCCCAATCCAGCTCTCTCAAGTTTCCACCACGAATCATTTTCAACAGGGTGATTCCTACATTTGCTATCTTTCTGTACTGAGATGTTAAGTGTCTTATGCCGTGCCAGTTGGATCGAGAATCTCCACAAGAAAGCAGACTATAAATCTAATCAATCAGGGAGCAAATAAATTATGCAGATGTAGGATATTGCATATAATATTTAAAGTCAGTTCCCATAACTCAAAATGAAATCTGCTCGATGACCCATTGCGTTCCAGTACGGGTGGGAATCCAGGGTAGGCTGTGCGGCCAGGAGCCAAATTTGTTCTATACCAGGAGTGGGGTCCCCTTTGGCTTGTGGGCCAATGCAAAGCAGCTCTAGGCGCTTGGTTCTAGTGGTAGGTGGGGCTGAAAGGAAAAGGGGTGGAGCCAAAAGGGAAAGACGCCCCAAACTATATAGCAGCATGTTGTAGTTTGAAGCTCTTGGTGCCAGGAAGGAGACTTCAGGACAGGCTCAAAGAGCTTCAAGCTCTTAGCCAGGAAAGCTCCAGGTACCCAGGGAAAGGGGGCTGAGCCAGAGGAAGGGGGCTTGGCTATCTGCAGAACCCCAGAAGGACAGGCGGGGATCCTCGGGGGGCCAGATTTGGGCCCTGCGCCTGACGTCTGCCACTGCCGCGCTAGAACCTTCGCGGTGAGCGGCTGCTGCCCGCAGGGATCTCACCTGATCCGAAACCCTGGAACGATACAAACCCTTCCCCCACTCCCGGGGACACCGTGGCCCAAAGAGCATTTTGCCAGGAAATGGCGACACACAGCAAGGGGGTGCAAAAGAAACCACGAGAATCTGCCCTGACCCAGCTGTGCAATCAAACCGTCATTTCCGCTTCCTTGTTGGTGATGCCCCCCAGCCGTTTTTTTAAAGGAATGGGAACATGTTGTAGGAAATGGCCCACCAATTAGGCTCCTACCTGAGCTGATAGAATAAGAAAAAGAAGGAAAGAGAAAGGGAATTTGGGATGGGGGGACCAATCCCAGCAGGCCTGGGTAATCTCTCTTAGCAGGATCCCACCCCGACGGCCGCCATTACCTCTCTTTTCTGTCGTGATGACGGTGGCTTCCAGGGGCTCCCCCCAGCCCTGTCGAGTCTTGGCAGAGGCTCGGAAGATGTACGCTGATTCGGGAAGGAGATCGGTAGCCACAAACTGCCTGACTGTGGAGCCAACTTCCACCGTGGTGAACTTGGTCGGGCTGCTGGTTGCCAAGCGGTATGCGATTTGATATCCTGAATTCATGGTGACAAACAAGAGGAGGAAGAAGAAGATGGTCAGAGGAGTCAGCCTTGTTTTTCCCATCTCGTAGTGGAGGAAAAGTGCCAAGCTGTTACTGCGTCCTAATCGCTTATTCATCTGGAGGCCAAACACAGCAATTTGCCTCTTTTTAGGGTTTACCAGCCGAGGCTGAAAGCCCAATACAGCATATTATCTGGGAAATTACTGGCAATATGATGCATAGAGAAGGCCTTCTCGGTGATAATCCACCATGAAATGTGTTTCACGTTTCATTCTTCATAAGAACGAGATGTGAGCACAGTTTTGTCTTCCTGGAGCACATGGATGCACTGTGAAAATGTGACGGATATCAAAGGAAAGGATACGTGGCGCATTTTGACAAGGCAAGGCCATCCGACGCATGGGCCCGTCCCCCCCCCCCAACAGCCAGGCAAAGACGGGGGAGGCTGTGAGGATGGGCATCGGGGCCGAAGGTTCTTTCCAAGCTCAAGCCCCTGGCTCTTTGGGGACCTGGCAAGATGGAAGCCTGCACGGAGGGAGACATGCCACCCCTTTCTTCCCACAGGCCTTTGCGGTTCCATCTGAGCTCCTATTTTTGGACTGGTCGTGCAGTAGGGCCGGGGGGGGGGGGAGCCTCTTTCCTACCAGAAAAAGCTGGCCCAAGGGAAGGTCGAGCAAGGGCTGGGGCTGAGCATGGGGAACCGGAGGTGCTGCAGGACTTTCGCCCCTTGCCACCTGTATGTCTGCCCAGGTGTTGGGGAGGGGGGGCCAGGTATCCTCTTTGGTGGAGGGCCGGCCTCTGTTCGAAGGCCCTCATCACCACTGGGCTCTGGCACAGGCAGATGTGTGGCACAGGCAATAGCGGGAGACAAACCACATTTCTATTGACTGTTAAATTATAATAATCATTTCTCGATTTATTTCATTGTGATGGAGCTATTGTTCAGAGGAGACTTGCTTTAGCGTTCTTTTAATTCTGCCCGTGGTTCAGAAAAGCCAGCTCAATGTAAGAAACTGAATCTCCATCTATGATTCCACTGTTGTCCGAGGCCCTCCAAAATATAAATAAATAATTGCTCTCGCAGGCGCAACCTCAGATCACAGCTTTTGCTAAGTGACGGGGAAAGCTTGGTGGAGCTTGCAGGGATGGGTGGAAAGGATTGATGCATCCCTCATGCTCTCATTTGTTGTTGTTAGTCACAAAGTTGTGCCTGAGCCATCACGACCCCATGGACAACTCTCCTCCAGGCTCTCCTGTCCTCCGCCATCCTCCGGAGGCCACCCAAGCCCGCAGCCACCGCCCCAGTGACCCCATCCAGCCCCCTCGTCCTCTGCCGTCCCCTTCTCCTTTCGCCTTCAATCATTCCCAGCATCAGGGGCTTCTCCAGGGACATGCTCTCATACCGCCGGGTAAAGGATGGTCAAACAGAGCAGATCCAGGCAGCTGCGGGCTGGAGTGTATTTTATTTTACTGACTTCCACCATGGAAGTCCAAGTGGTCCCGAAGGCCTTCTGGGCAGTCTTCCACCCAGGCTCTGAGTGGCTCTGGACCCGCTGAGTCGATCTGAAGGTACTGCAAACTCAGCGGGGAATAACTTGACCTCTGCGCAAGTCTCTTCACCGGTTCTCATTATCTGAAGTGCAGTCATGTGGGTCAACGCATCCACGGCCGCCGTCCTCAAGGATGGCACAGCACTGACTGCTCAAAGACTTCCTGAGAACCCTGTAACCAGGTTTGCTTTCTTCTGGTGCTTACTGCAAGCCCAGGCCAGCTGCGACGCTCCAAAATCAATTTCTATCAGAGATGGCAGGCACGGCTTTGTTTGCCGCAAGAACGCTTAAACGCGCCATCAAGTTAGATGGCCGGGAGCTTGGAGGATGACGGCCAAATCAACCCAGAAGAGCAGCAGCTGAACGCAGTGGTGAGAGAGCCCTGGCAGCCCTCTGACCGTCCTCTGGACGCTAAAGAGCGCTGGAAAGACAGGAGACTAATTTACCGCCATCGCTCCCTTTAGGTCCCCACTGCCGCTTGGAAATTTGTGAGATTCAAATAGCAAAAAAAGACAGGGAGAGCAAAATCGAGAGGATGAGGGCAGGGGGTGGAGAAGGATCCTTGTGGCAGTGGAGACCCATCCATCTCCGGCAGAGACGGGGCACTGACAACTCCATATACGAATGAGGCAAGGGCCAATAAAAGCGGATTCGGATGTTCCTCTGCAGAGCCAAGTCTGTTTGCTCTGCGTTTTCGCACATGGACTTTGGCGTTTAATTGGGACACAGATGGCGCTAATTGTGTGCAGTGGGGCTAGCAATGCTTTTACAGATAACCTGTCTTCTCCCTATATATCATTGTCTTTCCCCCCACACTCGGGAGGAAATGGGATAATTTGCCGCAGCTGAATGGGAAAGAGGCTGCTCCTTTTGTTTCCCCAGCCAATGTGTCATTGCCAGTCACATCTCGTGGACGCTGCTGCTCCCGAGGTGCCGGCGGAGGGCCCCCGTTTCGCGGAGACTCAAATTATAGCAGACAAGATTTGAGCATGAGCCCGGTTGCCGAAGCCGCCCTTGGAACTGGAACACAGGCAGAGGAGCATGTAGCACACGCACACACACACACACACACACACTCTCTCTCTCTCCTCCCCACAAACCTGGCTCCATAAAATCAAGAATCCAAATATCAGCTTTGCCAGAGCACCTGAACCACCAGTGGGAGCCTGGAAGAGCTATGAGAGAAAAATAATCACACTGCTGCTTAGGCTGATTGTCCTTAGACATGGACATATGGCCTGTGCGTGCGCACGCGCGCACACACACAACCGAAGGGCTGAAAAAGAATCAGCCTAGACATAGTTTTCACAAAATCCCACACTAGCAAAGTCTAAGGTTACATCCAACGCGCTCAGCGTATGTGCACGAAAAGGGCACTGTTACTGGGTGGTTCTTCCACCAGTCGGGATCTGGGCTGCTCGGGAGACCAGCCTGGGTCGGTCCCAGGCCCTGCTGGGGCTCTCAGCCTTCCGAGGAGCACTCGGGAAGAGCAGGCCCGGCGACACAGGCCCCTCTGGGAGTTCTGAGTTTGCACTGTGCCCGACCCCTTCCTGCATCGGCCACGCATCCTGCATGGCCCCCTGGCCTCAGCCGCTCAGGTCTTCCCGTTCGCTGCCGTGCCTGCACCCGCCTCACCGGCTCCCCTCGGCGACACACGTCCTCCTGCTGGCTCAGGCTCCGTTCCCACCCCTTTGCAGCGTTTGCTTCCAGGTGGATCCCGCCCTGCTGTGTCGCTGCAGCAGTGCAGCTTTGCCCGCGTTCTGCCTGGCCCTCGCCACGCACCCTGCCCGGTTATCCTGCCTCCAGGTCCCTGCCCCTCTCCTTGCCTTCCTGGCTCCTGACCTCAGCCTGGGCCATGACGGATGGCGAGCTGCCATTCCACCTTACGCTTGGATGTTGGACTGGTTCTCAGCCCTGGTCCCAGTGCCTGTGTCTTGTCTCTGGCCACCCACCTCCTGGCCCTGAACCCTGGAAGCAGTGGCACTCTGCTTAAAGATGCAAGTTTGCAGCCACAGGTCACCCGGGAGGATGGGTGCCCTTGGGGGTACACCACAACCTCCAGCTGATATACTGTAGATACGCAGAGAGCGGAGCTACCATTATCCACATCCACATAAGCGAATCCTGCACAAGCTGGCAGACAATAACAACATTCCACACATTGCAATAATGGGCTGAGCAACACACAGTAAAACCAGCAATTTGAATGAGTTCACCTGAGCCCTTAAGAAAGGGATTGACACAAAAATTAAGCAAATGCAGATGTATTTCCTGAGTTTAAATACCTGAACGCTGGCAATCTCCTTGCGAACAGATCCACAGCTTGGATGCTTTCTCAGTTCTGTATGATTTGTATAATTAAGGATGCTGGCTCTACAGTTTTTTAAAAAAATTGCAAGGAATTTATGGTTGACTTGGAGAGGAGTGGAAAGGGGTATCTCATTATTGGATGTCTTTGAAATCTGGAACATTAGAAAACACTGTGCCAGCCGGATGGTGTTCAGCGTTTGCATGTCGAAGAGTCTAATTTGCAGAGATCTTTAACTATGCACAGCTCATAAAGCAACCAGCGTGAGAGAGAATGAGGGACCCAATTCTGAATATATTTAGCTTTACCTTACGGATATTATGTAGACTGCCAAGGTATATGGAGTACATGGCACACTGTGAATTCCAGGCCCGATTTAGCAAACGATACAGCATTTTACTTAACTAGTTTTAAAGCCCAGAAAGAGAGAGCACATCAAAGGATACATTGGAGAGATGTGCTCTGACCTTTCCCAGTCTCTGTACATGTGCAGAAAGGAGAGCTGTAGTTAAAGCACCAATCAGCCGGCATGAAATATGATGGGGAGGCAAGGGGGGGGGCGGAGGAGGCATCAGGGAGGATGTTGCAAAGGAGAAGCCAAGGGGAGTGGCAAAGACGGGGCGCAGCATGAAACGAGCACAGGCACCAAAGCAAAAGCCTGGAGGGGAAATACAGCACATCGAGTGGAAATCAACCTGGGTCTGTGGGAGGATTCAGGAGAGAGTACAGATGAGGCAGCCGGTCTGATCCTGTATCCTTTCTCGCTTGCCTCCCTCTTGACCGCAATGTCTCGTCAAGCTGAGCGTTTGTGGGCCTGATGGGCTGAGGTGCTAGCGCATTCCAAGGCAAACCCACCTGGTCCATCGAAAGGAGCTGTGGGAGCTGGGACAGGCAATGGCACCGTGCACACCCCCTGCCCATGGCTCAGTGTGAGGGAGGGGATTCCTGCTGGGAACCCCCCCCCCCCACTATTGGAGGAGAACCTTCCTGGTGACACTTGCAAAGGACCGAAGGGGGAGCCCGTCGGATGTGTCTGGTGTGCGGATTCGGCCCTCTCAGGGCTCCCGTAAAATCCCTGTAGGGGACCCCTGTGGGAGAAATGGCTGCTCTTCTTCTGGATGAGGAACAGGAAGG